AAAAAAAAAAATGAATGACGGCGGGATCGAACCCGGGCCGTCGGCGTGCTAGCCGAGCACGTTACCGCTAGGATAACGTACTATTATAATAATAAAATTTCATTAGGAGTATATATATTGCAAAAGTATCGTTTTAAAAAATTGCCAATTGTTCAATTGCATTGCATATCTCCTCGATTATCAAATATTCAGTTTTTAAACAATATTTCGATTGATTTGTCATTAACAAAAAAAAAAAATTGGAATTATTTAAAAAAAAAAAAATGAATGAGCCGGGATTGAACCCGGGCCGCCGGCGTGCCAGTCGAGGACGTTACCGCTAGGACAACGTGCTCATTTAAAATTATAAATTCATTAGTGGTATATATTCAATACATTGAATAATTTTTTCCATTGAAATTCCACGGGATGTGGTTTCCCCCTTCCGTACGTGCTACAGTCGGCTAAATTTCAGTTAAACAAATGAAAAACAAAAAGCATTCGTACAGCAGAAAATAAAATTCACCCCGTCGACTTGATGGACACCCCAGCATTGCAATAAAAACTTGGTTAATAAAAAAAAAACACCCCACCATTGCGTGTTGCGCCCTCCCTCTCTTGGGGTGCAGTACTACGATGACGCTGGGGTTACTTTCTCTTTCAATGTCTCTTTCAATTTCACAAGGTAACGTTACGTTTTAAAAATGGCGCCACTGTCTCGTACTCTGATTGGTAAGACTGCCCAACGCTCTTCCCCCAAAGCGTCTCACTTCCTTCAATAAACGAACGGGTTTTTGCCTGATTTTATTACTACTAGCTTTTCACCAAACGCAGAGTTGTGACGAGTGGCCAACAATATCATCCAGATAATTGAGTTTTCCATAAGTAAATTTACCATTTACTGACTGAAGTAGACAAGTAATTCAACAGATAATTGCTCACTGAGTTACGATGGTGGAGGTGCGATACACCAGGAATTTATTCCTACGTGGGATTTGTATTATTTATCTCTTTGCATTCCTCAGTTTCTATGTCCAAATACCCGGTGAGTTATCCGTAATTCACTTAAATTTGTTAGATTTATGCGATGAATTGTCAGGATTTAATGATGATGTGGAGGTTTTCTCTCTCTCTCTTTCTCTCTCTTTCTCTCTCTCTCTCTCTCTCTCGCTCGCTCTCGAGGTTGGTGGATAATCCCGGGACTCGGGCATTATAAGAACGTCTACATAGCATTTATTTTATTTCTCTTGTTATTTATATTTTAATTTGATCAAGCATTTCTAGCGTTTTCATTTTCTCGTAGTGACCATTTCTGTTTAATCTGTTGAACCTATTTATAGGAGTTTTCTTCGTCTCCATCCACCAATATTTGTCGGATTCAATTTCTCATTGACAATATTATCAGCGTAATTTTATTATCAATTCATTAAAGAGTATGGGGAAATAAAAAATTCATCGTTTGATTGTTAAACTTTGCTCCCGACGATATCAGGAATTAAGGATTTACAAATCTCTTTTAAGTTTTATGATGGGCATTTTTCTGATGTACAGGACTTTTTGGAGACAATGGGGTGCTACCAGCCAGAACTCAGGTGGATCTCAAAGGAAAAGCCTCTCTCTGGCAGAAAATTAATCAAAAACCCACGGTTCTATGGTTTGCCAACTATTTGGGACTCAATGTCGAGTACATGATGGATCTTGTAGGTCTCACTGGAGCTGTCCTCTCCTTTTTGGGGTAAAAAATTTGACAATTTAGCAAAATGAATGAATGAATGAATAAAAATTTTCTCCACGACTTATCACCGGTTATTCCCGAAAATTTCATATTAATCATTGAATTATTCTTCTCACAGCTTCACCTCCCAAAAACTCTGCATTGCCCCAGTATTCGTGCTCCTCTGGACTCTCTACTACTCTTTATTCCAAGTCGGACAGGTTTTCGTCCAGAACAACTGGTGAGAATAATTTAATTAAGAGAATTGTCCCTGAAAAATAAAACCAGAGAATTAAATTATTTATTTTCATATTATATGAAAAACATGTAATGTATCTCGATTACATAATAATCGTGTTGCATTGTAATATGATAAAGAAATCGAGACTGTAGAAACGGTCAGGGTGATACCGATATACACTCAAGGACAGCGTCATTCATTGCAGACAAATCAATCATTGGTGTTGGAAAGATATGGCTCAATTATTTTTTTATTTTTATTTTTTTTCAGGGATACTTTGTTGCTAGAGGCTGGATTCCTTTGTGTACTGATTGCCCCTCTCTATATCTCAAGAAGGGGAAGCATTAGCACGCCCAGTGATTCCGTTACATTCTGGACGATTCGCTGGATGCTCTTCAGATACTTGTTCTCATGTTCTGCTGTTAAATTAGCATCCAGATGTCCTGTTTGGTGGAATCTCGATGGTAAATCACTATTATTATTATTATTATTATTATTATTAATATTGTTGTTGTTGTTGTTGCTGTTGCTGTTGTTGTTGTTGTTATTTTAACAAAAAATAACCAATCAAGCCTAGTGTTTACCTCGTATAATCTTAAGTGATATTCAGCGTGTTTTGGTCTTGGTCTTATCATTTTGGAGAAAGAGCAAATGGAACTAAGTTTTCAATAAGAAAACGTGAATTTGATGAGCAATTTATTTGATTTATTCTAGCTCTCTCCCAGTATTTTGAGACACAGTGTCTGCCTGCACCGCTCAGTTGGTACGCTCATCACCTTCCAATCTGGTTTCTCCGTTTCAACACACTTTTAGTTTTTATCTTCGAGCTGGCCATTCCACTCCTCTTTTTCTTCCCCAATAGGAGAGTGAGAATAATCGCGTATTACATTCAGGTAATTACTTACCCATGAAGATAATTATCTGTGAATGTTATTTCATTAATTTCTTCAATAAATTCCCATTTATTTCTGCAAGATGTTCCTACAAATTCACATAATCACAACTGGTAACTGGAACTTCCGAGACTTTTTGGTGATCTGCAGTCTCATCGCCCTCCTTGACGATCAATTTTTCTACAAGAAGAAATCAAAGAAAGACAGCTCGACAATCTCTCATATTATCTCGATCCTCGTATGCGTAATAGTGTACTCCGCTGTCATCTACGCTACTATTCATCTGTTCAATCTCAAATTCGCTGATAACTGGACCATCACCTCCGATATTGGTAATAGATATAAAATAAAAAATAAAAAGTTAGTTATTTGAGTATTACCATTACTTATTATATTATCTGCAGGTTTTACATACAAGCAATTCGACCAGTTCCTCTCTCGAGGTCTCCCCCTGACGATTTATATTGGCCTGGCATCCCTGGGCTTCACAGTAGCCGATGCAGTTACCCACTCGATTCTCTCCAACAAACCAACGACTACAAGACTCATGACATTCTTCACCACAACTCTCTACACCATTGCAGTTTGCTTCCTCTTTGCAATGAGTGCAGTCTCGTTTTCAAGCCTTCATCCATCGCAAAATGCCACAGTGCCCATCCATCTCCGTCGAATTCACTCTAAAATTGAAAATCTTCGCATCGTCAATGGCCCCAAGGAATTTGCACTCTTCCCAAAAGTAACTGGAATTAATGGACGCCCTGAGATCATCATCGAGGGGAGCAACAGCATCGAGGGGCCTTGGATAGAGTACGAATTCCTCTATAAACCTGGAAATGTCAACAATTCACTTCCCTTCGTGGCACCACACACCCCAAGACTCGACTGGCAGATGTGGTGGGCGGCACAGGGCACTTATCACCAGAATCCCTGGCTCATGTCCCTGACTTATCGACTTCTCACTGGTCAGAAAGAGGTCACAGCACTCATGAATAATGTGAATAAATCCTTTGGCAATAATCCCCCTAAATACATCAAAGCAACTCTCTATCATTATCACTTTGTTCCCTGGAGGAAATCAATGAATCAGCAGAGCTGGTGGACCAGGGAAAGGGTTGGAGAGTATTTTCCCATTTTCAGTCGTGATCATCCACCTCTACTCGAGTATCTTGGAAAAATGAGGATTCTTAAAGATGAGAAGATCGTACCTGTGACCAATGATATTTTGAAAAATATTCTTGAGGCCATCAGAGCTGTTGTAAATAAAATCGAGGCTAGCTTGCTACTGTGGAGTGTCTTCACTGCTGGGTGTGCAATCATCACAACTGGACATAGTTCGGGGAAAAAAAAGTAGAGGTGATATAGTAAAGAGTTTTGAGGGAATTATTGGCTTTTGATAATTTTTTGAAAATTTTTTAAAAATTGCAAAGAAAATAATTGTTACCGGCTATTACTTTTGGTGAAGCAATTTGAGTTATGGACTCTTTTTTTTTTTTTTTTTTTTTTTTTCCAATATTTTCTAATAAAATGGATAATTCAAATGGCCTCTGGTCTCACTGAGGTGTGATATAATTGCATTTCTATTTGATTTTTTTATAATAATTAAATAAGACTATTGATTTTTCTTTGTAGAAAATTATTATCTCTTGAATCTCTGATCTGATTTGAGGTGTGGATAATTCCCTGAATAATTTTTTCTCTCTCACTGAGGTGTATTATAACTGCATTTCTGTTCGATTTTCAAAAAATACGAAGAAAATTAGTCTCTCTATTACCTAGTACTCGAACAAATAATCCATCAATTATTGATTTCACTCACTGATGGATGTTAGAAAAGTAGGAGAGAATTCTCAATGGCCTACAAATAATAAGATTCCCTAGGAGTTTATACTGCAGTTGTCCCTAGATTTTTCCAATTCCCTTTCTATAGTAATTCATAATAGCATTTGATAATAATTAATCGATTAAGTTGAGTCACGTTTTGGGGATAATGTACAGTTACATCCGTATGAAATGTTTATAGCCTAAATTCAATGGAGTGTGTAATTGATGTGAAATTATCTGTATAAATAAACAATAATGGTTGTACTTCGATAACAATTTATTAGTAAAAATCTGTAATGAAAATATTGCACTTTTGTAACATTAATCAAAGTAAAAATATTAAATTAAATACTGAATTGATGATTTGAAAAAATTTGAACAACTTCAATAATAGCAATTTATGTCATAACGCCTGAAAAGTCTTTATTCTTCTATATTTCCAACTGAAAAGCTTAATTTATATTTCATCTCAAGGGGTTAATAATCCCCCTAATTGTTATAGCCTTGATGATTCTTCTCAATCACCACTAGATTTGTATCGAAAGCCTTCGTCTCAGAATACTTTATCATTCCAATGGGATACTTGAAAAGTCTCGTGAATCTTGTCTTGAAAGTACGAAAAGCCCTTTTACCAGAGGCTGAAACTGGCTCTTTACTGATAATCCTGTCGTCTCTGGGCCACTGAAGACTCCCATTATGTTCCTTCATGACCCTAAGTTTCTCCAACCCCAAAAGAGTGGAGTAACAAGGCTCAAGAACACTCTCCCTCTCTCTCCACTCAGCATTGAGCTTCTCACCCACTTTTCTCTCCTGAAAAATTGCAGTGATTTCAGTACTGGCGATGATATCATTATCCTCTGATGTCTCAGCTAGAAATTTCTTTTCAAAATGGCGGTGAGAAGTGGAGAGACAGGGACTAGACAAGAGGGCCTCGAGCTTCTTAAAGCTCTTCAACTCCTCCTCTTTCAGCATCTTCTCGATGTTCTCTGGAGTCTCCATATAAAAATCCAAGACGATATTACAGTTGTCGGTGATCCTCCCAAGATCCCCCTTTCTCTTCTTCGATGGAATTTTAAAACTAAGACCAAAAGGAGCCGGTGGGATATAGAATTTGTCTACCTCCTCATTCCTAAACATCTCCCTCCTGACGACTTCTGGGTCCTTCTTCCGCCTGTTTGTCCCCCTAGAGTACTCCTGAAAAGCCACCAGTAACTGCTTGTCCCTGAGGGTTAGCCCCTCTGTGTCGACGTGCTCAGGGACGTTGAGGTGAACGTCAAGCTTCTTAAAAATATCGTTGAGCCCTTTGGTATATCTCTCGAGCTCTATCGCAGAGTATTTAGGAACTCTTCCAGGTGGTGCAATGCATGTCTGATTGCTCTTGAAATATCTTCTCAATCTGGTGTCAACGTCGACATTATTCTCCTCCATATTCTCAAGGAGAATTCTCTCGCAGAAAGTCAAATCGTTCTCCACAGGCTTTTCACCCCCTTGACCTGGATGTCGCTTTCTAGGGACGTTCGACAGATCTATTCCCCTCGTCATGTACCTAACGATAGTCATATATCGATGTCTCACGTACGTTCTATTCCTCTTCATGGTCCCAGCAATTTTACACCACCTGGGGCCCAAATCGTCATAAAGTTTCAGTAGTTGCATGTCCTCACCAACAGTCCAAGTGTTGTACGATTTATCGGTCTTCAGCATCAAAAGTGTGAACCTCCCACTGAGCTGTACACTAGTTCTGTGGGGTAAGAGTTCAGTTGAGATTCTTGAAAAGTCCCTCCCATACTTTGTTACCCCTTCAAGGATCAATTCATCCTCATCAGCGGTGAATCTCCCCTTTCTCAAGCAAGGATTGGTGCAGTACTTCCAGTGAGAGTAAACTTGATTCTTATTTCGATTATCGATGTAGAAGGTCACACAACTCCAAGGGATGTAATTCCCTATTTTCAGGGCCTGGACAACATCAACAAGCACCTGATCCTCCCTAGCTGTCCACACGTCTTTATTTTTCAATCTCAAAGGACCCCTCAATGTCGTGTACCGAATAAAACACTGGTATCCAGTCCTCCTGGTCTCCAGTTCCTCTGCAACTCCATCCCAGTCCTGATGCCCTCTTTCCTCTACAGCCTTCATCAGCCTTAGGTTCTCCTCCCCCGGAAATTTATAACGATTCACGTCTGGATGGAGATAAACATTCCACATTACTCGACACTCATCTGCAGAATGACGCCCATGGAAGTACTGTGCAGCAATTTTCATCCAATCGAATTCTCTAGAACCCCGGGGACCGATGATCTCCTTGTAATTTTTTGGGAGGTGACAATGCCCAACGTCGACAAACACCTGGGAATGATTCTTGGAGCTCTTTATGAGTTGTTTTGAGTTCTTTCTAGAGTGCCTCCGCCTAGTTGTCACCTTTTCGAAGTGTGCAATTGCCGTTTGACGTCCAACAGCTGTCCACAAAGTGTTCCTGTCTTTCATTGTCCATCTACGGGGCATCCTCTGGTAAACAACCATAAGCTCTCTTCTCGTGGCCTTGGTGATGGCGTCGTCGTTAAATGGCGATGGGAACTCCTGTCTGTCCTTGAAATAGGGAAATCCCACTTGTCGATATTTCAATCTGGGGGGACGTTTCGTACCCTTTGAGAAGAGGTTAAGCTTCGAGGTAATCTCCTTTCTCTGGCGTGCTATCTCTTGAAGGCGAATTACAATCTGCTCCTTCAAGCGTTTGTAACTACAAATGAGTGACTCATTCAGATAGAATGCCTGATTTATCAACAACTCCTGAGGAGTTGATGTCGGCAGAGTGTCAGCGATAGTGTGACGAGATCCTGAGTCTATTGGTGAACTCTGACGGATAAGGCGAGGCTCTGGACGCGGATCCTGGGCTAATGCATTCTCCAGGAGCTTTATGTCCTCGAGGGTCTCAAAGTCGTCATCGAAATCCGACATATTCAAGTCAATGAGGAAAACTACCACCAAAACCAGTGTATTTCACCATCACAACTAGAGAAAGGAATATTCAATGTATAATAAATTAATTGAAGCACTGAGAATTTTCCCCGATAGTAAAAAGAAAAGCTCTAGATTAAAAAAAAAAAAAATCATTCAAAGAGGTAATCTTACCGAAAGCTTGAGGTTATCTGAAATGATGTTAGGCCCTTTGTACGAAAAAATCTATCCAACTGAATGCCCCGCGCTATCCCCCGCGCTATGCCATATGTTTCCGGTATAGAGCACCAGCGCAGCAGCCGAACGCGCAGATTATTCTCTCCACGATATGACATGCGCAGTCCGGCTGGAGCCACCGACATCGAGCCGAAAGATGTCGGCTGGTTGAAGAGAGAGCACCAAATATAACGTTCGATTTTTTTTTCGTTGTCATGTGAATATCAAAGCCTTCCCTCAAAACGCTCAAAATCCAACTTTAGACCCTCGTCGACGTTAGTGCAAAGTCATCAAGCCATTTTGACAACACGCAGCATCAAAAATTAAGAGCTATCTGCCATTTCCTGGCCCAACACTCTGTTCGGTGGATCATTTTATTTAAGATTTTTTATGTGTACGAGCGAGTGCAGTGGGATGTGATAGCGCGCGGCTTTCTCGCGCAATCGTGCTCCAGATAACCGGCCCATTGAGAGGGCCTTATGTCAAGATTGTCAAGCCAGTGATTGCGGTTTAGCCGTGTGGTGTGGTGAGGTGAGGTGAGGCAAGGTGGGACAACATGAAGAAGCTCTTCTCTAAAATTGACAACACCTCCAAGGAGACCAATAGTTATCTGGGAAAGGTATTTGTCGTTGGAAGGCACACCGTAACCGTCGAGGAGGTCCTTGCTGAAGGTAATTTTCGGATGGGAAAGGTACATAATTTTTTCTTTCTTTTTCGAATGGCTGTTATCAGTTTAAACGTTTCATCAACCGTGGAGGAATTCTCCGCCCACCGGAGGATTTTTTTTATATTTTTTATGAGTTTTTGATGAATTTCGACGAGCCGCGGATCAGAATATGATAGAACCACCTTGCAAGTGCGTAAATTAGGTTTGAAGGTGCGCCTCGGGGTGATTTTTCGGTGAGGATTCATTCCATCTGACCATTCTCGATGTCTCGATGGAAATTTCTCTCTTTCCTCTGGTTATGAGGGTTCGGGGCTTTTTTTTTCTTCAATTTGAGCGAGTTTTATCATATCTGTGGTGATATCACGGATTATGGGGCTTATCAGACTTATTGATAGGAATATCAGTGAAAAATTGATGTATTCACATGAAAAATTTCCTGATTTATCTCGCAGGTGGATTTGCCATAGTATTTTTGGTGAAATCATCCAGTGGGCGATATGCCCTCAAACGTATGTACGTCAATAATGAACATGATCTCAATGTTTGTAAGAGAGAAATACAGATTGCAGTGAGTATTCGGTTAATTGAATCCCATTGATCACTCACACAATAGACAATTGATTGATTGGGATAATAATCCCAATTGTTTTCGTGCTTTCAGAGTAACTTGAGCGGGCACAAAAATATTATAGGATATGTAGATAGTAGTATTACTCATACAGGAGGTGGAGTACATGAACTCCTCCTCCTCATGCCCTATTGCAAGTGTCATGTACTCCAGATGATGAATAATAGGTGAGCTTTTTTTTTCTATCTTCATTTAATGTGTATTATTGTAATTAATATATAATGATAATAATAATAATAAAGTTTTGCAAATAATTACAGAATTATAAGGATTATTGGCTTTCATTGGATAATTCGCTTATTTAATCTTAAATTTTCAAGGTTACAAGCTGGCTTCAGTGAATCCGAAGTTCTCCAAATATTTTGTGATGTGTGCGAAGCCGTATCGCGATTGCATCACTGTCAAACGCCAATAATTCACAGGGACCTGAAGGTATGAATTAACAATGTCGAATAAATACTATTGGAAATCCGTAAAATCGACAGTGAAATATTTTTTTCCCATTTCAAATATCCCGAAGAAAGTGTAATTAATTTTTAATATATGAAATTGAGGTGGAGAATATTCTCCTTGCTGACTCTGGACACTACGTCCTATGCGATTTTGGATCAGCGACTGGTAAAGTACTCAACCCAAGTATTCAAGGTGCAGCTGGTGTGGAGGAGGAGATTAAAAAGTACACGACACTGAGTTACAGAGCCCCCGAGATGGTGGACATGTACTCTGGAAAGTCTATTACGACGAAAGCTGATATTTGGGTATAGAAAAGCATTCACCACAAATCATTGTTACTCGTTAAACAATTACCTATTGTTTTCACAGGCACTTGGGTGTTTATTGTACAAACTCTGCTTCTTTACGTTGCCTTTTGGTGAAAGTACCCTGGCTATTCAATCTGGAAACTTCACTATTCCAGATAATTCCAGGTAAATTTCCAGTAATTGAATAATTCCTCAAGAATATCTGAAATTGCTATTCTATTGAAATAAAAAATGCATCTTCCCCAGATATTCTAAAGGCCTCCATAACCTCATCCGCTACATGCTGGAGCCAGATCCAGACATTCGCCCTGACATTTACCAAGTGTCAGCAATTGCCTTTCAGATCCAGGGAAAGGATAATCCAGTGCAGAATCTCTTCAAAGTGCCGATTTTAACCCTGGACGCCCTGCCATGTGCCACAATTGAGTCGGAGAGTGTAAAACGCTCGTCATCAGTGAAAATTTCCAAGCCCTCGACGGTTTCCTTGGTGGAAGGGACTTCGGTGACTCCACGACAGCGACCAAAGGGCCAAGGTGTGGCCCCAGGACCCATCAGCTTAAGTGGCCAGATTGTTTCCCAGATATCAGGCCAGGGCAATCAGAATTCATCGTCCTTCCAGGCTGCACCACCCCAGGCCCTTCAATTCGCCCAGGTGCCACCTCACATTCCCTCACCCAATACAAATCCACCATTTCTCCCTGGGCAGAGCCAGAGTCCGCTTATTGGACATTCACCACTGACACTCCAATCACCAGTAACTGTGCAGGATAAAAATTCATTTTATTTCGAGGGGAGACAGATGGAGGCCAGGGCAAGCAATGTTGGATTACCTGAGGAAAACCTGGAGGCACTGTTTCCCCCCTCGAGTTATCCAGATCCATTCAAAGATGACCTTAAGTCTATGCCACCTCCTGCCAAAATTCCTCCACCTATTGCGCCAAAACCTGGATCCAGTAAGACTATACCCAAGCTCACCACACCCACCAATTCTACACCCAAATTTCCACCTTCTGCTGGAGCTACTGGCAAGCTGGCGACTCCCACTGGGTGTAAAGGAGCTGTTATTATTGGAAAACCTGGGGGTAAGTCGGAAAGCTTGAGTCAGAACATCAGTGCTAATACGTCACCCCCTGAGAGCCCTACTCTCGGGAACAGACATCGTAGGAACGTCAGTGATACCAGTGCTTTTAATAAGTAAGCATTTTTATTAATAAATAGTTCAGGTTAGAATAAATTGATTTTTTATTTTCATTATTTACAGAGTCTTCGCTAATGAAACATCACAGTTTCTAGCCCCCTATGACGCTTCTGTGAGGCCTCACACTGGGGAAAGTACTCCCCCAGAAGTGAAACCCGACGGAAGACCTATAATTGGTGCAAGTGCCTCGCATGTACGTGTTGTAAGTAGACACAGCACCTTTTTTTTTCTCATTTTATTATTTCAATTTTACAAACAAATTCCTAAAATACCAGGTACAAACAACTTTCAACCTCATTTTCTCCTTCTGCCACTCTACCGAAGAATTCTCGATAATTTCGCTCAGTTCGCTCTCATATTTTTTTTGATAATTGATTTGATTATAAGTTTTCCATTGATCATTGATGACAATATATCATTTCGTTAAATTTAATTTTTAATTTTTGCACTGCACAAACTCGATTAATGACTGGAGTGATTATCATTGTGGAGTAATTATGGTTATGGGATGGACCACAGGGTGAACTTTCCAGTGTCTCGGGGGTTGAGGGGCGTTCACTCAGTGCAGATGTAGCTGCTTGGAATCCCTTCGAGGACACCCAACCATTCAATCAATTGACAGAGGATCATATATTTGGTGCTGAGTTTGATAAAATAAGGAGAGGTAGTAACAGCAGCATCGGGGGTGTTAAGAGTCGCGAGAGTCTCGTTATGACATACTCGGAATTACCTGAAGACCCATTTGAATCTGCTCCTTTCACGTTGCCTGGTGAGAACCCAATCAATCAATTGAATAATTTACTAATTCATTTACTAATAATCGACATAATCCAATAATTAATATTTCAGCGGGCAAAAAATCAAAGCTTGGATCTAAGACGACTGCAATAGCTGGAGGTAATGCTTGAGACCTTTACTTCACTGTAATTAATATTCTTCCTCTTCTCTACCTCCTAAAATAATCAATTAATTCGACAAAGACAAAGAAAAGGGCAATAGAATTGCGAAAAAATTTACCAACTGATTTCACGTTGGGACTAAAGGGTGGAAAAAAAAAAAACGATGAATTTCTGTAGATAGAAAAGAAAACCACGGAGGCACGTATCAGTTTCATTTATGTTTTCGAGTAGTTGGTTGAGGAAAATTGTGTCTCGTGATTAGATGATGAGGGGAAAAATGATGCTTCGGCAGAAAATCACACAAATTAACGTTCTAACTAGCCAATTTTGTGTGCTGATAAGTACGTAGGGACTTTTAGGTGCAGAGAAGTAACGAAAAGCAGGGAAAAAACACCATCGACGAGACGAAACAAAGAAATAGGAGGAAAGAATCAGTGCAGAGTTTTTTTTTTTTCTCCATTTGTTCTCCTTTGTTCCACAATTTTTTGTTCTCTTGGTGCTAAGATTAGCCTGCCGAGTGATGTAACAATGGCATTGGCATTGGCATTGGCTTTGAATAATCATTCCATGTATTTGTTGCTTCCAGAATGAAGTAAATTTATCATTTCAATAAATTTATTTAGTGCAGTGGTGGAAGTTGATTGGGAATTATCAAAAAATATCCACGATATGACAACCACACTTGCCTCTCCACCACTTGATTTTGTGCACCTAAAAATCGCCAAAGATACTCGTTAACTAAATACATTTAAACAATCAACGAACGAAAATTCCAAAATTGCCAATTCGATCAAATACTATCACAATCTATCTAGTCTACACAATATTAACATTAGTTACAATTAATTTACACCAGAATAAAAATAATGGGAATTTATGAATCCACTAGAAAAATAAATTATCGTTAACTCATGGAAACATTCATGATTCAATTGACAACACGTAGAATGTTTTCTGTATCGATTAATGAATACTGTGATTTCACATTTTTGCTCAGTTATTAATTGTTATACGCTCAATAATTCATGTTTTAATAATTATCTCTGCATATAAATGGTAATGTGATTCCAAAAGCAGTTATTGTTCATGTCAGTTACTCAGCTATTGGTGGAAAAATCAGTAAACATCGAACAATTGAATGTCGAAATGATTATTATGCTTTAATTCACCTGATCATTACTGATTACTCGTTCTATTTTTTTATTGGTATTCACGTACTATTAGGTGTCAGTTTCGTCATTAATTTTCTTTTTTCATGTAAATAATTGGGAACTACGGTATTTTGATGGTGCGTGAGTTATGAACTGGAGATGAGTTCAAATGGTTTTAATAACAAAATAAGAAACAATAATGATATCTAACTGATGTTGAATTTATCTCCATTTGTCACCACTCAATTTCTGCTTCAATAATCCTTCCTGGTTTTAACCAAAATACGTGGAATTGCACTTGAAGTATAAAATAATACTGGGGTCTATGGACCAATGAGTGGAGTGCAGTGGAGTGGAGTGGAGTGGAGTGTTGCATAATGAATAATAAATAAATAAATAAATGTTGGATAGAATTTATTCAATGTTTATTATTATGTTTATTATGTTTATTCAATGTACAGGATGGAATGTATCTACACATTATGTGATTGTATAGATGATATTGACAGCACGTATGAAAAGAAATATTAGATTAGATTAAATGAGATGAGAGTGAGAATTAACGACAATTGGTTATTCCTTTTGGAAATTTGGGATTTGTCATTTTCAAGCTGTCGATTATTTCATGAGGATATAAATACGTATAAATATAGCCATATACCGTGGCAATGTGTACAAAAAATTATGAAAATCATGAAATAACAGATTTAGGAGTGAATTCGCAAAGCTAGATGATGAATTCTTATTTTTATTTCACTTCTGCTTCACTCTTTCGCCAGTGAATTTCACTAGCTGAGGAGATTAGTGTGTTACGTCTAATCTCAGGTGTGGTCGCCAGACGACAATACTGTACTTACCAACCAGTGAAAAGAGACATTGAATTGCTTTTCTAATGTACCAAAGACACCAGTCACCACCGAGGATGAAATCATTATTTTCCACTGAGATTGATTTATTAAATGCTGCACACGAGGATTAAGCTGCGTATCCATTGTCTGGAACACCCTAATGAGTTAATGAGGAGGCGCCGAATAAAGTTCAACTTGATGTATATATATTTATATACGCGAGCTTCCCAATTGAAATTTTTCATTTGTCGATATTCTTCTCCTCCAGATGGATTAAACCACTTAGAGTTGATACCCTTCGGTAATTAATCCATCAGTCCAATCAATAGTCATTGATCAAAGTAAGAAGAATCGACATTATTTTTATTATCTGTTTTCCCCCCTTTTTCCATTCGATTCTCGCTGTATCTTTGATTAAGTCTACAGCAATAAATAATGTACATTAGCACATTGTGGGTCTCGTTCTTTCAAGTCACTGAGTTGTTGATGGTGAAACGCAGCATTTCTCGATCATTTGCACTCAAATTATTCCATTTTTTTTTCCACATTTTTAATTTTACCCGGTAGAAATTGTGGTCGAGGGACTGTTGCGTTTCATCAACTTTCCCACCACACCCCCTCAAATCTGATTAGGACTGTTCCAGACGAAGTGATAACGCCACTAACAACTGGGCATTTGTCATTTTTTTTTTATTAAAATAATTTTTGTCTTATTGACGTTGTGGCTTTTGGTAATGTTGGAGTTATTGTTTGGTGGAATTTGGAATTTGAGATTTTATAAACATGATTGCGGGCGGCACACGACACTCGAGCATCAATGAGCACTGATTTGTAACAGACCTAATCAGACACTTCCTCTTTTATCTAGTTTTAGTCCGGTGAATAAGTGGTTGAGGATATCGTTACATTCGTAATTTAAATGACTAATCAATGAATCTTCAATGTTTTATAAAACAAAAACTGAATTTAAAGAGAGACTTGAATTCACCGATTTAGGGAAAAAAAATTTTTTTTAATCCTTAGCCACTTCTCCCCTCGAACTAAAAAACACCGCCTAAAAATACCTACAAGAAATGTGCTATCAATGTGTTAAAAATTCTTCCTAAAACTAGGTAAGTACCTCTCGATCTTGAAAATACGCCCATACGTCCGGGTGCCTCAGCCTCATAACTCCATTCGCTTGGCGACTAACAGAAAAAAACTCACACCAAAACGAGAAAATACCGATGAAAAAATTCAATAGTATTTGGAAAAAGAAAAAAAAAATCGAAAGAACTATCACCTAAATCCATGAAAATCTCCAGACCCTCCAGACATATATTTCTCTGTTCCCAGGGCCGAATCGTGTGAAGATCTCGGTCCACTGGAGTCCATCAACAGATCCAGCAGCACCTCTGGACGATGAGTCAAGCCTCCTGGTGGACTCGACCCCAGTATCTCCTCCATTCGTGAAAATTCCCTCAGAAGACCGTTCAAAATATGAAAAACTGGCTTTCAACGCTGAGGACCTCTCAAGTGACAGTTCGAGTTCGACAAGACGTTCGAACCGCCATAAGAAGAAGCGACGACGAGTCAAAGGGGTTCTAAATCGACGAAGAAATCCCTCGAATCCAGATCCAGAGCCAGATCCAGAGCCAGAGCCAGAGCCAGAGCCAGAGCCAGAGCCAGAGCCAGAGCCGGACCCAGAATCCGACGACTCAATCGGTTCGGCAAGTGATTTAAAAGCCATGAACGACGACAACGAACCCCCGGAGGAGCCCTCCAAGATCGATGAAACCATTTCTGAGAGTGTGAGAACTTGTGGCTCATCGGCTTACCACGCTGAATGTGAATCTGTGGCAACTCACGAAGACGACCACCGGGTGAGAAAAGTCAGGCGACACCACAGGAATGATCACTCCCTTCCAACAATCAAAGCTGATCCAGTAGTCGGCCATCAATACGGTGAAAAGCCTCTCCTCCTGGATGATGAGCTTGACCCTGAGTCAAAGCCTGAACAGACGCATGCCGATCCCTTCGTCAGCCATCAGTATAATTCGAAACCCAAACTCTTCAGGGACAGCTCATCCGAAGAAATTGAGGAGATCAATCCCCTGGGGAATGGCATCTTCAAAGAAGATGATGTCTTTGCAATGGCTCCATTTCCCAGGCCTTCTAGCTCCAGAAAAAGCAGCTGGAGCAGAGACAGTGGGAATAAACTCTCGGGCGGTCCATCTGAAACTTCTCCAAAATCTGGAACTCTTATTACGGCTATTTCGACCAGCTCCCCAATTTTATCTGGAAACCTCGTGGACATTGGAAACGAGCCCACCTGTCCTCCCAGACCCCCCAAAATCGAGGCTAATAGGAATAATTATGAGAATGTGGATTTTATTGGATCTATGTGCGCCGAGAATAAGGAGATCAAGGATTTATTTGGCTCTTCCCCCTTCTCTGCAGGTATTCGTTTATTTTATTTTACTTGAATTGTCTCTTAATAATAATTTTATGTCTGATGGGAACAACCTTTTGAAAAAAAAAGCATGGAACGTTTTTTGTCAGCTCTGTTTCGGCGCATACGTAAGCTATGCATTAGGCGAGAAAAACGTGAAAAACGCGAAAAACGCGAAGAATGAAAATATCGGCGAATGAATATTAATTATTTCATGAATAATTTAAAAAGATCAATAAGCGGGGGAAAAAAAATGTCTTCAACTGAAAAATCGATGAAAAACAATGGCTAATGCCTGATGACATCCGACGATTGTCGTCCTGTTTCAGGATTCATGAATCCCTTCAGCAAGAAAGGCTTCCCAGAGAAAGAGCCCCCAGTGTACGAGAACTTTGACCCAGCGACTTTTTTGCCACAAAATCCATCGACGAGCACATCGACTCTCTCCTCCGTTATCTCCTCTTCAAAATTCGGTGCAGTAGCAGTGAATGCCAAGTCGTCATCAGCTAATCGGGACGACTCCCCCAAGGATTTATTCGGTTCAATTCCCTTCGACGACTTCACCAGTCTCAGCGTAAACAGTTTGCAGAGACCAACATCTCTGCCCCTCTCCCAGTCTCCAACTTTTGACGACGGAGGACTGAGCTCTACATTGCCCTCAACAGCACTGTCAAGTCACTCAGTTCAACATGGGGGTATAAGTCTTTACCAGCAGGTGCCCCAAACTTACGTCATTCAGCCAATAGCCACCAGGAGCATTCACACGGCTAGAATTATCGTTAATGCGACTAATTCAGTGGCCTCAGACCTCACTCAGGACAGCCCAATGTCCCCTGAGCCCCTCGTCGCTGATGACTCCCCTAAATTCAAGAAGGAGAAGTTCGTGAAGAGCGAGAAGGTAAAGTACCACCTAATCAATGAAAACAGGAATGACATGATCAATGTTCTACCTGTCAAAGGATCAGGGAAGCACAAGGGTGGGGTCTATAAAAAAGTCAAAGGGAAAAAATCCGGTGGAGTCACTGGGGGATTCAGTAATATGAGTTTCGAGGATTTTCCCAGTGATGACAATGATGATCGGGGGGCTGGCAACAGGGTTGCACCCTTCGAGGTATTCAGGGATGGGGAAAAACGATTTGGATCACTTAAACGACGAAGCAACCCCTTCACTTGAGAGATGATGGTGAAACATGGGAGAGAGTCATTTTATAATACGTTACCGGAAAAATGCAGCAATTTTTTGTATCACGGTGCACTTGAATTAAGTTAATTATTTCAATGGAATGAGTCAAGTACATTTAATGAATACCAAGTCGTGCAACTTGGCAGCTAATACCAAAAAAAAAAAAAAAAATTACGAAACAAGGCGAATGATGGAGTAAATAAAAAAAGAGCACTGGCATCTATTTTTGCAGCTGAGCATTTTCACATATTTGTACATATGTTTGAGATTCTTAATTTTACCGTAGGTGGAAAATATACTGGTTGTTATTAAGTGATGAATGTCATTAGTTGGCAGTGTATTGAGTGAGAATTAATGACGGAGGAGCAGCTGTTTAATGGCTAGTCCAGTTTTGAAAAAATAAACGCCTTTCCCCGAATAAGACTGACCCTGATGACGAGCATTTAACGTCGAGGGCTCGGTTTTTGGTTGGCTTGCATTTTTTCAAACACCACAGGGGATTTTCTATGAAATTATAGTTCCATTGTTGAACATTTTGAACACTTTTTTAATGTGAAAAAATAATTTTAGTACGGAAAATCATACTGGGGGCCTTAGATCTTACTTGAATGGGCATTTATCGCATGGCCATTGGTTTTATGCATTTACATGCATTTCAAGTGTTTTTTTTTTTGTCTTTTTCGCTTAAATTTCCGTCTTCTAAAAAATCTTCCATCACTTCCGGCAATCACTGGCCAGCGCTCTTCAATATTTCTAGGTTCTGGTATTTAGTTCGATCAGATGATAAGACAATATCAATTTTAATCGACGGAATTCAATTTCTCCAGTTGTAGAGTTCGATTGATTGCTTGATCGAGTTAATAGTTATGAGATGATTATGAAATGATGTATGTGTGAGTAGATTGATTGTAATTAGGTGCCTTCCTGTCACTATTCACATGCTTGAGGGATTAAGGGCGTCAATTAAGTCGAAAGGTCGTGGGGACAATGTAAAAATCAATGAGTTATATACTCTGGAGGTTAAATTTATTTATAATTCCAGAATCGGAGAATTATGTTATTTATATTTGTCTCATTATTGGTGGATAGGTACACAGTTGAAAAAATTATTGTAAAATAATGATTTGATAATAATTTCATCGCTACATTCAAATGTTCAATTATGTTTCAATCAAGAAAATATTTAGTTGGCATTTTTTCAAGTTAAAATAACAGTTGATTCAACCTTTCGACTCAATACGCAGTGTAAGAAATTTTTAGTCATTTGTAATTTGTAAAAATGGGAAGTAAAAAAAGTCTACAGTACCTTTTTTGCATTGTAAACTGTTAATCATCGATTGATTGATACACTGATTGCTACAAGCTCATGCCAATAAAACCTCGATAACTAATAATTCGTATAGGAAACAGTTTTATATTCAGTAATAATTAATGAAGAAATCAAACATCAAATCCTAAATGCATTTTCCAAAATAGTAATTCATTGCTTTTAAATTAGCGATATTTCACACGTTATTTAATTTACTAATGATTAAACACTGAATATCGAGAACTTGCAAACATTCCCCCACTTGTTTATCATCACACGATATTTTTATTTATTCTAATACATTTTTAAATATTGATTATTATTTTTCTCTTTAAAAATAGTGGTATTTATTTTTTAGTTCAAGTGTTATTTGCACGTGTGAGTGACTGGTGAAACCCTTCCACATTTTTTTTACACTGCCTTCTACCAAATAATGCAGTATTTTTTCTCGAAAAATATGTATTGAGAATATTTACACACTTGTTTGTTATTATTATTATTATTATCATCATTTCGTTTAGAAGATAAAATCATTGAGAAGCGGTGAAATGAGTCAATTACAATTCGATAAATCGAATTTAATATTTTTCATTATCGATTTATATCTGAGAAATAATCGATTTTAGACGGAAATATCACAGGATCGTTTTTTCTCAGTTTCCGATTTCATCAGCCTTATGTTTTTACTCCAAGTCAATTGTTCTCGATAGATCAATCGATAATTATATACGATATCGCATCCCTTTATCACTGGAGGGCAGCTTGCTATCCACTATGTTGTTGCTGTTTTAATAGGAATTATTCATTAATTACTTATTTCGTCAGAGTAATTGAGGTTCAGCTGTGGTTGTCATAGTACTTGTGTTATTATAATTACTTCAAAGAGATGAATAATATATTTGTATAAATAAGCGATAGAGAAACGAAGGGGACGGGTTTTTTTTTTTCCGAGAAAAAAAAAATGGTGAATCAATTTTAGTGAAATATTTTCTCTAAGCGATGCATAACGAACTTTCGTCTCAATTGTATATTATAAATATTATAAATAATTTTACATTTATTTGCTCGATGATTTGAGCTGATTTGAAAAGTTATGTAAATAATTCATGTACCTATGTAAAAATGAGTGCAGATATCGAGATAGTAAAGCTGAATAAAATATATTATAATAAATGCACTTATAATAATTGCACTTTTCTCCCATTGAATTTGACATATCTCTTCTCTAGGAATATCAAAGAATAACCAGAATATTTTTTAAAGATAATTTAAAAAATTATTCTAAAATCCGTTGAGCATCAACAGCAGCATAGTTTCTCCCCTAAAGTGCGATGTCTCTGTCTGGCCATCACGAAATTAATAGCCAGGATGAAACCCCAGGAGAAAAAATTCAACCAAGAAGATGTAATGCCGAGTTGAATGGCTAGACCTGTGTTTATTACATCCCCTCGTCTCCAATTATTAGCATCAGGCTGAAGATAATCCATAAAGTCAAGGATCGACCCACATCCTAGTCTCATATGTATTGCCTGGTGCAAAATTTCCAATATTAATTTAATGTTTCATCTAAATTTGTCTTAATAATGACAATAATTGGATAATTTCAAATTATTAAAATATAATTAAAATAATTGATATTTTTGTAACAAGTACGTAGTAAGTATCGCATGTTTTTCCTGTCATCAAGGCATTCGCTCATTGTCGCAAGTAGAATTTTCTTATCATTCCACAACTCGGAATCACTGGAAATTCTCACAAATTGAATAATTTAAAGGATAATTCAGTGGAGAAAAGGTAGAGAGGAAGGGTGGGATTGGTTGAATAGAGTAGTATCTTTCACCTTTTGCTAATAAATATGAATTTATATATTTCCTCGAGTATTTTACTCACCTCGACTTCTCGTCCTTTGGAGCCCAATAGCTTAATCGTTTGCTTTCTGTATTGTTCGCATGTCTTGTTGTATCCATCGGTGACAACAACAGCATGAGCCAGAGATAAACAGCAGATCAATGCTGCCAGGAAGGTGGGTGGCATCCACTGTTTACACGGTGATCTACCCTTGGGTCCCACCACCACCACACCCTCGTTATCACCTCTGCGAAAACATATCAATCAATCAATCAATCAGTTAATGAAAAGATAAGTTATTACCAGAAAGCCAATCTGTCATTAATTTCGCACAATTTTGCAATTGACCAGTTATTCTAGATAATTTAAACCTCATTTTAACAATTTGTCTGTAAAATTAGAAAAATGTAATATTGTGAGTGAAAAAGAATAGAGAACAAAACATTATTAAATCCTTACACTCTTTATTTTGAAAAATGCCCTAAAAACGACAAATCCAAATGGAATTCAGTCTAATTCCACGAATGTGAATAATTGAACAAGTTTTTGTTGAGTTATTCTCAGCGTCTCGAGGAAAAATCACCTGTTGTTGTAATTTCTCGTTACAATCCTGGGCTCATCGAGACTCCGGCTGATACACGATCTGTAGCTATGGTAGGATCCAAGAATAACGCCCATAAAAATCGCTGGAATGAGCCCGTACACAGCAAAGTGGCAGATCTTGACGTCACCTCCCATAAAGGTGCTAAACGAGTTAACACCGTACAAAATGCATCCGCAATCAACGGAGATGCATCCATTCAGACTCCGGGACCAGTGTTGCCAGACAATTAAAATGCATACCAGTGACATTGTCGAAAAAATCGCCGACAACGAGTAAAGACAGCCAAGCCGATTCTCTGCCTGAGTTCCATTCATCTTCACTCCTATTTAAGACAAATTTACCCCTATCTACAAAAGTACAAGAGATATTTCAAACATGAATACAATCGTTTGTCAATCTATTAACATTTTCAAGTGTTGTCAAAATTTTAATTTTCCAATTTTTCTATCCTCTTTCGATCGGCAAGTATTCGCACACTCACCCGATCGCTTAAATTACTTGTTTTATCGCTGTACTAGACTTATCTATTTTCATTCAATCATTCGCTTTGATTTCACGTCACATTTGTATCATCACATTGCTATCAATATTTCATAATGCGATGACAATTCACTGATTAGTAGGCACTTTTATTTCTCTTATCGCAAGGGAGTTGGAATAATCTCGTTAAACTGGAGGTTTTGCCATTAATGAAATCCACAGACACTCTGAACCGTGCAACTGTTGAAGAGGAACTGGCAAGTTGTCGATGCGATCAGCAATCGAGAGACACTATCAAAATAATCGATAGATTGTGACAACTGTCACTGAGTGAGTATTCAAATTCCATGAGTTTTTAAGCCATTTCCTCGAGTATCAGTCGAAATCAAAGTGTTACAATTTCGCGGGAAGCGCGTGGTTTGCTTTTATTTTATAAATAGGCCTTGTTTAGATGTACCAATGAATGTTGCGCTCCTAAATACCTCTACAATCCAGAGTGTTACGCAAATTATCTAAATCAGTTTCTATAAATTTTTCAAATGTTTTTTCCACTGCTTCGAATCTATCAAATTTTAATGTTTTCCAATTCCCACTGGGTTTATTTCAGTTTTGAAAAATGATCAGGAAACGAGACAATCCCGATAATTTCTCCGGAAATCATTAGTTTGCATAAAGCATTTGAGACGTCGACGAGAAGTGTAAAATTCCCAAGACTGGTGTTTAAATATTTGTTTAAGCAAGGCGCAGTTTCTTTGAGTCAAGAAGTTTTAAATATTACCTATTATAATGATAGATTGATCCCCTAGGCAAATGAGATAAATCCTCTCAACTTCACTGAAGTCGCCTATTAATATCTTGATGTCTTGACGTTTTCAATTTTTTTTTCCATACTAACTAAATTTTATCGCTGAAAAATTCGATATTACGTTTCACTAGAGCTCGAAATAATGGAGATTAATTCTCGAGGTTCAATCAGCTGAACATCTGTTGCAATAAGTGGGATTATTATCAATTAAATCAACTGGGTGTTCTTGAGAGGGGCTTGGACGTTTTTTTTTTTTTTTTTTTTTAAATTATTTAACTAAAAACGAAGAGGCTTTGGAGGGGAGAAAAAAGAACTAGATTTTTTGATCCTCTGTTACTGGTCTCAGTTTGAATAGAGACTGTTGCGCCTCAACCATTTTCATTATCAGACCTGTGAGATAGAACAAGATAAGATTAAGGTACACCGTTTGTGTGTCATAGACGGTGCAGATAAAAAAAAGTGAATTGAATTCGTCACAGGGGATAGGATTCCTTTTATATCTGGTGACTATAATTTACAATTTATTCATTGTCCAGATTTTCATGATAACACATTAATTATACCGTACAGCAGTTTAGAGTTCATTCCGTAATCATCTTCTTTGTGTAATTAGCTATTTACAAAGGTGAAGGATTTGTTGCTAGTCCGGAGGTGAAGAGGTGGGAAAATTGTCACTTGGACCTGAAAGAGAATTATTTCAAGAATTTATTTGGAGTTTTATTATTTTAGGGGTAGGGTGGAGCTAAATGGGCCCTGGTTTATTTTCCAGACTTCCCACTTTACGCGATTAAAAAATTTTTCAATTGAACTGTTATCATGTGTAGGAGATATTAATAATTGGGGATGAATTCCAGGGGTTCCATGGGGGTAAAAGGTCTACACACATCTTACGCCGGGTTCATGCTGTGATGCCTGAGGTCCGATAATGCTTCTCGGCTATTCCACAGACAGTAGAGAGCAGCTAGGCCTAGTCCAACCCCACCACCAATTGCACATTTTCGAATTCCAGCTTTAGAAAATAATTTTTAATTGAAGTTTCAATTTTTTTAATTGAAAAGTTTATTTTTAAATGGCACTCACAGGTTGATTTGAATAGCATTCCAGTGGCAGTGGCAGCAGTGAGAGTGTTTATAGAGTCATCAGTTCCTCTCGCCCATTGAAGAATTACCCCAAATCCGCTGTACATTACGCTGACCACCCCGAGGGTATTCGCCACCGATGCGCCATTCTTCATGACGTGATTGATTAATCTGCAAGTGAATAAAGTGAACAATAATACGTAGAGATTTGCCAATAACTTAAAAAATTATTGGACAATCCTCCATCGAACTAGATTGGCCTAATTCTGGAGATCTTACTGAGTTCTCCTAAGTTTTCCAGTTTGTCCAGCGAGTGTAGTAGCTTTTAATCCCCTGTAGAAGCCAGTACCACCTCCAAATCCTGCCCCAAGTATACATGCAGCTCCAATCTGACTGAATGCAAGCTCGAATCTTCCCCTCTGCTTCACAGCACCCTCGGGGAATATAAATTCTGGTTGACTGCTAGGCAAGTACGAAGGATCAAAGTTCAGATAGGGACTGAGGGGAGTCAATCCCTGCTGTGAAGTTACTGCAACAAATTACGTAAAATAGCAATTTACATAAGAGAATCAATCAATCAAGGTTTCTATCGTAAGAATTATAATAATTATCCTAGCAATCTGATACTTTTATCTATTCAATTAATACCATTCTGTTGCCAAGTGATAAAGTGGGATCGGTCAATTTTTAGCAAATATCTTGAAACTGAATGAAGATATTGATATTTTCATAACAGCCTTTTAGCTACACTCTTATATTTATTTATTTAAAAAAAATTTATATGCAAGAATATCACTATCTCTCTCTTCATTTTCAAGATAGTAACCCTTAACCCTTCTCTTTTATCGTAATTTAAGAAAACCCCATGAATAATCCCTTCAAAACGTGATGCTCTTGAAAAAATAACCCTTATTCCAACAGCATGTTGCTACCCTCGGAGAGGTTACAATCAATAATTTCCACTGAAACCCCTCAAAAATTACTTAACACTTAATATCACCTGGAATATTGAGATCATCACCGTCTCTTCTGGACACTGGACCATCACCTCTGACATTATCACCCCTCAAATCTATCATTTTCCCTGAAAAACCTCGAAATCACCTCAAAAATCCTAAAAATTTCCTCGAACGTGGGAGACAAAAAAGAAGAAACCAGAAGAAACCGCGGCTTTACCGTTTTCCGCAGAGATGGCGCCAGAATTTGAAAAAAAAAAAAGGGAAAAGTCCTGCTGTCATTGAAATCCAAGGGGAGGAGCTATACACCGTGAGCCAATGAAATTTTTAAATGCTTATTCAGTTGTGTCGGTTCTGTTCACTCGATTCTAAATTTATCCTAACTTGTCTATTTGGAAGAAAGTTTTTTTATTCAACATTATCAATTCGTCGTTATCAGCGGTGAAGTTTTATCGAAACTGTCGTGTCTAGTATTAATGTGGAAAAAGTAGTGGCGAAATATTTGAGGTATCTTGTGGGGTAAAAGAGATTTTGCCCGTTGGGGATTTGAAACGTATTTAAATACCTTCTAACATGTGTCCTAAGACATCGAAAAGCAAAACAAAGGCCAAGGAAGGTACAAAAAATAAGCAGAAAACTGGGGAACCTGGTGGTGATTGCAAGGTCGCTAGGAAGAAAACCAAGGGAGAGATTAAACATGATAAGAAGATGAGAAAGAAGGAAGCGAAATTGATTGGAATAGGCGAAAGTGAAGAACAACAGAGTGACAGTTCCAACGCTGGAGACCGGGCTAATGAAAATCCAAGGAATGACCTTGATATATCCACCCAAGTTGAATCGGCCTTTGTCAAGTCTATCATTGAAAAATCCGGAATCCGATTGGGACAGAACAAGGGTGATGATAGCTCTAGACCCATGAAGCTTAGTTTCACCGAGGAAGAAATTAGGGATGATTCTTTGAATGGATTCAAAAGTGTTAAAAAGGTTTTCTTCATTCATTCATCTTTGCATTTCTTCGTTTATCCTTTTTTCCTCTCGATTTTCGAGTATTTTTGCTGTTTAAAATGGAGACAAGGCGCGTGGCAATGTGGAGTCTTGTGGAATTTGTTTTTCTGAAATATTGTGATGAAAAGTTTTTTCACAGTATTAAAGTATCGTTTGATTCTGCAATTTTCTAGGCATCACGTGTCGAGCATGTATTAATTCTCCGAGGAGAAATTGATTGAATGGCTAATCTATTCTGTATTTCAGAGAAAAATTACCAAGCCAGGGATAGACAAAAAATCGGAGGAATTGGGGTTTGAGGCGTACAAATATATTATAGAAGGGAAGAAAGATAAGGGAACTGAGTACTTAAATCGAGCGCTCGCGTTGGATCATTTCGATGTTCGACACTATTTCAATAGGAGTTATTCACAATTATGCACTGGAGATTTTGAAGCGTGAGTTTTAATTTGTCCTTACATTTTTTTTTCTTTTTTTTTTTTTTTATTAATACTGAATTACTTTACCGAGTTAATTGATTGATAATTTACAGAGCTTTAAGAGATATAGAATTCGTTATGAATCATAACGATTTCAAAGATATTGTTTATTTAGCAAGGATGAAGTGTAGACAGGGCCAAATATTTAAACGAATGGAGGTAAGGACAAAAAACGTTGTTTTTTTTTGTTACTTTTTTTATTTATTTACTGGTTTATGCTTCTATTATTATTTGCAGCAATATGATAAAGCTAAGGAGTGTTTCAGGGACTGCCTGAACTTATTTCCAAATACTATGTCAGTGCGTTGTGAACTTCTTCATATGAAAATATGCCAATTAAAGAGCATGGGTTTCCCTGAAACTGACGTCATATTTCTCCTATACGATTATCCTTATTTAACCTTCCCTAATGCTATCACTTTACTGACGGAAATGGCAAAGAGTCAATGCCACCAAGGTATCCCACCGGAGTCTTCCATCTCCATCACCGAGGACGAGGAATTCGAATCAGACACCGAAGAAAATCCCTGCAGCGCTCGATTGTTCAAAGACATGACGAATTTTAATTTATTTACGAATGATTACGTGTGGTTCAGGGACGACAAGGTTAAAAAAAATAGCCAGACTGCTACAGAGGCTAAATCACAGTCAATCTTAGAATCTTCCCAACACGTTGATTTACCAAATTCAACGGCTGTGAAGGAGCTCAGGGTGATAAATGCATCTGGGGCTAAAAAAGTTGTAATTAAATCCCAAGTTGAGAATAATGTCAATAACAAAGCTGTCTGGGTTGGATCAGTCACCAGTGCAATCACTACATCCATGCTCAAACGTACATTCTCCGTTTTTGGACCTGTTGCCAGTGTTTATAAAGCCAAAGGTTCTGCCTGTGCTTTCGTTAATTTTGAAAATATGCATTCTACACACCTTGCTCTTGAGGCAAAGTCCCTTGAGGTAAATGGGATAACCCTTCCTATTAAGCATAAGACGAGGACGAGGTAAACAGATATACAGATGAATCAAGAGGTGAGAGAAAAATCTTTTCATTTCATTCTGTTGTCTATTCTCTATCTATTTGATGAACCTATCAGAAATTTGATGCCACTTTTTATTGTCTCGTTTGTTCCAGGTGTTCCACTTTCGCGACATCAGACAGGGACAAAATCGAGGGACTATTATTTAACTATTATCAAAGATATTTCCAATTATTTTTTTCTTTACTTTTTACCAAAAATTCATTTTTTCTTCCTTTATTTTATGTTTCAATTAAAAATCAACTGAGATAGTTCAGGCTATTTTGTTATTCTTATTATTACAGAACGTTAAGAATTCATTTCAAACGAGAGACGTACTACTTTACCTCAAGTAATCTGCGATGTGAGATTCTTGGAGATTAACGTAGCTATTTCCTGAAAATTTTATAAAACTAGATAATTCATAAAAGTGATGTTTTTAGTTGAGTCTTTAGAATATAGAAACACATGTTTTATTACACAGCTACTGTTTCTCATTTATTTACATTATCCTTCAGTTATGTACGTTTAAAATAAATGCCATTACATGCATATTATTCAAAATTTCTTCGAAATAAATTCCTAGATATCATTTTCTACTTCTTAATTCATTCAAACATCTTTACATAAAAAAAAAAAAAATGTATCAATAAGGTCAAGAACTTCAGATATAATTTATAGACACTTCAAACTGCTGCATTCATTTTCAATTGATGCACCAATAAGCCGATATAACAGGAACAGAATAATTAAAAAAATATTAGTTACTCAATTTTTGACTGAGTTATATGAGAATTTTTAATTACCGGGTAATATTTTCACAATTTTCGACGACTGCTTTGGTCTAATTATTGACCTTACCATTAATTAACAAATAACTGATAGACAATTGCTTTTAAATCACTTCAGTGACAAAGTCCAAGTAAAATAAAAAATAATGCGACGAGGTTTTGTGTATCGGTTTCAATCGTAATACTTGTATTAATGAATTAGAAATTTATACAATAATGATAGCGATCACCATGTCTTGATAATCCAATAATGTGTGCTCGAGAGGTACTCTGAATTTTCACGATAAATCTGTAATAATTATGATTTTTCATCAAAAAGCAATTAAAAAAAAAAGATCATCACGCCATCAAATCATCTTACGCAATCGAGTGATTTCACAATAATCATGTTCTCTCCATCCAAAATAATAAATAAACACTAGTCCAACCTTTTCAATTAATATACACAATTATAAACTGGCTCTTTTTCTCCATTCGTGTGCACTAAAATGACTTCTCCTGGATTTTGGGGTGGGCCAGACAGTATTGCAGATGTGACAGGGATACCAAACCTTTTTGGCAGCTTCTGCATCTCCATTCATCGTCAGGACTTTGACACAGATATTTCTCAAAGACTCGACCTTGTAGACGATTTCAGTCTCACATGCCGTTACCTTGTGAGCCATCCAGCAGTGGGTGTTCCTGGCTCTCTTGGTTGGCCAGTAACCCTGACAAATTCTACATGGAAATCCTCTCTTCTTCGTTTTCTTGGAGATCTTAGGGGCCTTGAGGACCTGACGTGTGTGTCCCAGGGCACGTTTACAAAGGTCTGTTAATGAGAGAATCTGACCTGGTGGCGGGTCATCCACAGCATCCACTATCTCATACTCATCCTCATCAAAATCCTGGCCATCGAGATCCACATCCACCTCGTCATCATCCGCTTTCTCCAGTTTTATAACTCTGTGCTCTCGACTAAAACTCAGGGAGTTTCTCGTTTCTGATGAGGCATCGGAGTAACCATCTCCCATGTTGAATCTGAAGTTACGTAAGTGGTTTTGATTATTTCTTTACTCAGAGTCGTGAATTATTACAAACAAAAAAAAACTAGAGAAAAAATAAATTAAGGATAAAGGAAGAAAAATGAAAAATTGAAGAATTACAGACCTCTTGGAAGGTCTCTCCCCACTGCTATCTCTGCTGACAATCTCATACGAATCATTCTTTTTCTTAATAGTGATGCTGATGCCAATCCCTGAATCCCTGTCGCTACTCTCCCTAGTGTCATTGGACTCCATCCCAGATTCAAAAGTCATTCTGGCCTTGCAGGATATCTTGTGAGCCGCGAGTATGTCGGCATTCCTAAATGTTCTCTCACAATTCTCACACTTGTGTTCTAGCTCCTGCTTGAGCCTCTTGACAGCCCTCGTCATCCTGAGCTCTCCCCCGAAGGCAGACGAAATTCTCCTCTTCTGTATCTCCCTCTCATCAAGAGACTCCCTCCGTCGTTTCCTGCTTATGAGATGTCCATCAGATCTTCGCCTCTGAATTGGCGTTATCTTGATATCAACTTTTTCCTCAGCTTGAGCCTCCTGGGATGGTCCCTGCATCGTGTGCTCCTTTCTGCAGTGCCTCCTGGCGCTATCATACCCATAAGTGACAAATCTGCAGAATTTACACGCATAAATTCTCCTTCTCCTTCTCTTAATCTGCCTAAGAACAAGTTCAAATGGTGCCTGTGGCCCTGGAACAGTCATCGCCTTCTTCTGCCTCATAGAGTCTACAGGTCTCCTCTTTCTCTTCCTCTTGATAGGAACCACTGGAGCATCATAATCTTCTTTAATCGGAGTATTAGCCTTTTTCATTGTCACTGGTGCCTTTAATTCTCTCTTGACTACCACTGGTCCCTTGATTTCTCTCTTGATAATAAATGGTTCTCTAATTTCTTTGTCCTTCGTCTCCCTCTTGTTCCCCAGTCGACTCAAAGGCGCCACTGGACACTGTGATATCAGCATCTCTGGATTTCTCACCTTGTGAAATTCCACAAAGTGCTTTTTTATTTTTTTACAGTGTCTGTTGCATAAAATACACTGCAGCACTGGCTCTTCACTCTCTGGACTCTGCGCTGTCTCCACAGTCTCCATAGCCTGCGGTATGTGTCCAATCGACTCCCTTTTGATCCTACTACTCACCAATGGAGTCTTCGGGGCTTTATAAACCTCTTTTTCATTAGACATCTCAGCTTCATCGTAATTCAACCGTTCTTTATCCCTCAAGGAACGAACAGGGGTCAACTGTGGTGGTCTCTCAATCTCCCCGGTCCTCCTGATGCTGAAATTGTGTCTCTTGTTCGCCTTGTGGACGAGTCTCATGGGCTGCTGAGACGTTCTGATCCCATGAAATATCAATTGATGCTGCATTAGATTCTTCTTCCCCCAGAATCTCTCATGACATCCTGAGCAGGCGTGTGGTTTATTATGATCATTAAACCTCGATTTTCTCGTGTATGTCTGATAAATCTGATGTACATTGGCCATATGATACATGAGACTCTGTCGAGAGCAATAAGTACTCGAGCAGCTCTCGCAGCTCCAGATTTGCGTGCTCGACTCCTCGTGTTCCTGGGGAAGAATTTTCGTAAGCTTCGGTGGTGGTTTTTGCACAGGTGGACGAGTTTTTAAAGTTCCACCAGCTGGTACTACTGGTTTCCTCTGGATCTGAGGCTTCAGGCTCTTCTGACTCGATATCTGATCCTTTATGTGCTGGAGGATCACGTGATTTCGAAGAGTGGTTGTGTACGAGAACCTCTTGCTGCAGTACTTACACCTGTGAATTCCCAAAGAATTATTCGTGTAAGTTCTCTTCACTGTGATTCTTTGAGGTGGCACAATTCCATGAACTGTTATCAGATGAACTTTCCAGTTGGTGTCATTGGAGTAGAGTTTTCCACACGCTTCGCACGTCTTCATGAGCTTTTTCCCTTTCCTGGGAGCATGTTGAGGCATCTTTTCCTTTGGAGGCACTGGAGCCTTCAACTTGGAAAGTGGGAGTGGAGCTCTGGATGTCTCCGTTTGTTTCGTTGTCGATGAGGTGAATAATGACGAGTGTGCCGTCTTCTTCATCGCCACCTGTTTTCTACCATTTATTTTACCCACCTCTAATGGAGGAGGTGGAGGAGGTGGAGGAGGAGGAGAAGGACGAGGAGGAGGAGGAGGAGG